TTCATTAAAATAAAAACAACATATCACCTCCCTCCTAAATTTCAGCAGTTTTGTACCATGTAGAAAGCTGCCTCATCATGTTTCGGGGGTAATTAAAAAAGTCGAAGCCTCCCTCCCTCATATTTTCTGAAAGAAAAAGCCTGAGAACCAAGGAATTAATTTTCTAGGCCTTACATTGAATTTTTCAGAACGCAAGGATATGTTACATAAATGAAAGTATGTAAATACTGTGTAATTTTTAGCCCAACTTATTTTCGCCCTATTACCCTTGCTTACATATATGCCTCATTTTGAATTCGACTCGTGCCATTTATTTCCATTCAAGAATGTATACCGTGTAGTTTGAATTGGCCCCGTTATAAGTTCTCCCATTTGTTGACCATGCGGAAGGGGCGAGAATAAAGCAGGGTTAGGAAATATCCTTGTGTACAGTAAATGACCTCACTGTCACAGAGATTTTACTTAAGGAGGACACTGCTAGATTTTTGAGATGCGTCAAGAAGAATTATATTTATTGCCCTTTCTACAGTACACTACTTCAATGTATGTTTTGCTGTCATACTTTTGTTGCACCTACACCTTAGGAAGAGAGTGTTAGGAAATTCCAGGGACTGTAATAAAGATAACTAGGGCTAATTGTAACCGGGACCGTTACAGATATTCCCAAACGCTCCCCAACTCCCTTTTTGTGCCATATTCCCTTAAGATCTATTAAATATGACATACTTTGTGCACTTTAGACTGAAACAACAATTTCCCAGAAGGTGATAAAAAATATAGAAATCTTAGCATTATATGTGAGCTCATGTGAATGCATGTGGGTAATGTATATATTATCTTATCTACACTGTGTATACAGTGTTTATATTAAAATAGACTTAATATCAAACCATTTAATCCAAAAGTATTAAAGAAATATACACTTGTTTAAGCAAATTTTTAATTTTACTCATTTCACGTGCAGCATGTGCATGATGACCACATATTCTCGTAGGGGTCCATTATGTCTATCAATATTAATTCTAAATACCATCCTGTTTAGTTGGAAACCAAGGGAGTTATAACCATATAAAGTTTAAGCCAATCAGATTTCAGCGCACGTCCATGCGCTTGATTAAATGACAATTGTTATATATCATATATTGCAGGACATCCTATTGTATGCTTATGTTTTAAATTTCGTAGCATTTCGTCAAAAAACAGAAAAGATATCTCAATTTTTGTTTCAACCAATTAGAGTGAAGAACACCTGCACGCACGTGCAAGACGACCATTAACCTTCTTGTTGGAGTCTATTATGTCTGTCTGTGTTCTAAATCCCATCTTGTTTGGTGTTATAGCCATTGAAAGGTATATATATATCCAATCAGATTGCAGCGCAGGTGCATGCACCTGTTTTCACGGCAATTGTTATATATCATTTTGTACGACATAATAATGCATGACTTTGTTTAAAATGTCAAAGCATTTAGTCAAAAATTAAAGAAGATATTGTGATTTTTATTTCAGCCAATCACAGCAAAGCACACGTGCATGCATGTGCATGACGACCCAAGTGAAAATTTTTTCAAACAAATCACTCACAAATTACCTACAAATTACTTTAAAATCACTTATAAGTGATTTGTTTCAGTGATTTGTAAGCAATTCATTTAACAAATCATGCTTAAATCACTTTCTACTAAAATGATGACTATGATTTGCTTATAATGTGTTATAAAAGGGTGATTTGCTTGTGATTCCTTTCCCATTTCAGACAATTTCTTAGTGATTTGTTAAACTTAGGAAATTTTTACAGTGATTTCTTCATGATTTGTTGAACTAAGCCATTTTTCAAGGTGATTTGAACATGATTTCTGGAACTTAGTCTTTCTTCAGAGTGATTTGAAGATGATTTGTTAACTTAGTCTTTCTTCAAAGTGATTTGTAAATGATTTGTTGATCTCATGGTCCTTCTTCAGAGTGATTTGAGAATGATTTACTTCATAACTTCCGCCTGGCTTGCTGATTGGTCAGTATTAGAAACTCTACCGCCAATTTTCATTAATCAGATTATATTTGAATTGAAATGAAAGGAGCTACATTGTGCTTTTCTAGATTCATACCTCTCTTCTTTTGTTGAAACTGATGTTTTTTCAATAATCATGCAGAATATAGTTTTAAGGTATGTATAACTGTATTATGCTATAATTTCCTCTTGAGATTCAGTTATTATTCCCTATGTTCACATGCAATTTATTGTTCTTCTACCAACAACAAAGTCGGTGGCAATCAATGTTTTAAACAAAATCTATGTAAAGCTATAAGCTTCAGAAAAGTACTGGCTTTTTCAAAGTGCCTAGACAAATATGTATTTCAATTAAGAAAACATTTACCAACTTCTAAAAGTCAACAATTAATGCTTATATCATATTCTGAATTTGGAGCCAAGTTAACATGTGTATATATCAAAAATACATGATGGCATCTTAATGAGGACACATCCTAGTAAAAGTTTATATTTTAAAATACACTTGCCAAAAGTTTTTTGTTCATATACAACAAATACCGGTATGCATGCATGTGTGTTTCAAATATTTGAGAGATGGTTACATGAGCATCCTACACACAAGTGTGTAACCACCTGGAGTGATTTGAAAGTGATTTGTTAAACTGAAGTGATTTGTTTGCAATTCATTTGAAATGATTTGTTTGCAATTTATTTGGAGTGATTTGGTTGCGATTTGTTCAACAGAAATGATTTCTACACGATTTACTCTCAGTGATTTCGTTGTGATTTCAGGGTGATTTGCTTACAATTTGTTAGGAGTGATTTGTTAGCTCATTTGCATGGGAATTTGCATCACTTACAAATCATCTTCAAATCACTGATTCATTAGTGATTTCTTAGAGTGATTTGTTTGAGGATTTTTTTTCCCTTGGGGACCATAACTCCTTGTAGGAGTCCACTATGTCTGTCTATGTTCTAAATCCCATCCTGTTTGGTTGAAAAACAAGGGAGTTAGAGCCATTTAAAGTTTAAGCCAATCAGATTGCAGCGCACGTGCATGCGCTTGTTTACATGACAATTGTTGTATATCGTATTGTAGGACACACTAAAGTATACCTATATTTTAAAATTCATAGCATTTCATAAAAAAACAGGAAAGATATTGAGATTTTTGTTTCAGCCAATCAGAGCAAAGCGCACGTGCATGCGCGTGAGGGTTAGTGCTAATTTGACAGTGTCATATTATCTACAGTATTAATATATCTTTATATAATGATTTTCAATTCATTTCATCAAAAAATGTAAGAGTAATAGCTATATTAAGAATGTCAGTCAATTCACTCATTTCACGCGCCTGCATGTCAATGCATATGAAATTAATATGTTAATCAATTTTTAAATCCATGATTGGTATTTATGAAATTTACATCACTGATGAGACTGATGTTTTGATAATTTCAATTATGTTTTGTTCATATTAGAAGGCAGAAAATCTAGTCCCATATCGATGAAAATTTAATTATGAGCAGTTACCAAACCTTGAATAAATTGTAGATAAACCTGGCAAATAGTAAAATTGAATGTAGAACTGCGACTTGTATGACCTGGAGAGGTCATCGGTTATTAACAAGTTCCTATGTGATGTGTTACAATGAGTCTTGGATGACATATGAAACAACTCGTAAGGAATACCACGTCATGAGATTTGGTACCATCTATTTATCCAAGACTGCCCCCTCCCCCTCCTCTCCAAAGCCTGGCCAGGAATAACTGCAATCTAAAAGTTGGTCCAGGATTCGAACCTAGAACCTTCCCTGTGTAAAACAGGGGTGCTCTACCATTGAGCTAACCAACTGTAAAATAATTACAAAGAATTCCTGTTGGCTAAGGAAAGGTGTCTTAATGAATGGCGGACTGATAATTAGCAATAGATGTTATGCACAAAATATTAAATAACTTTAAGTGTTGTTGACATGAGACATCGTTCTTTAAGATTCAGCGTCTCCCGAATAAATGTTTGTGATAACCTATATCAGTGATGACTGATATTCATCCGTGTTATGAATATCCGATCATCTTTTATATATGTCTTAACCTGTTCCTACTACAATTAAAAGTTGATAAGAATTGTATAATGTCCTTATGCTAGTAATTTGCAGGTCCCTGAAAATCACTATATTTAGCTATATAGCAAGAAATTTACCTATAAACATTTATTTATCTATATAAAATCCGGGATAGCTTTATTTACTTAATTCACATGAAATATCTGTTAGATTAAAAGCAAACAAAAAGTCGCATGATGAGGTAATATTAGTTTTCCACTTTGAAATGGATTGAGAAGAAATCATGAGAAACCCGCTTATAAAGATGTATCTCCTCTTGTGCAATTGCAATCGAGGTCATTGAATCGACCATTACGAAATGATTACTTTTATCAAAGCTGCTGATATTCTTGTTTCATCAATCAACCGACAATGTCAAAATTATCTTTTTCAATGGAAAAGTGTTACGATACATATCCATGTATATAATGTGAAGTGAAAGACTGAGGAATTACTGTTCAAAAGTCAAGGCCAATGTCTAAGTTGGGTGGATTATGCCAACATTAGGTCAAAATTCTTAATCAATGTCAGGAGGTTAGATATGTTAGTACTATAAAAGGCTATGTGCCAAGGACTGCAATAAAGACATCGAGATACATAGCTCCTACCAATCATTAATTATGGGCAAGGATACAATTCTGGCGATCAGAAAGACAATTGCAAAAACAGTACAAATTCTTCACAACACCGTTTATTTCAATATTATAGGGGCATACCATTTCTCTACGTTAGTATACCTTACACAGAAGAGGACATTTGATCTCATCAGGATTAATTAATCTCATACCATTCTTGAAAACTATAATAAAGAATTTACAATTGCTTCAGCCCTTATTCTTATTCTTCCTTGAGAATGGATATCTGCGTTTAATCTGCCTAATTTCAAATCATACATACCATTCCTCTTAATTCTTTCCTTGTCCAATCCGCCATCCTACAACAGCATTATCACAATATATTCATGACCATCTCAATGGTAATTCTACTTTGATAAACGGTTGTATTCGGAAACATGAATTGTTAACTCAGCTAAATACCCTATTTCTGTTTCAGAATCTATTTGTGGCATAGAAATTAGAAGAGCTCAAACACATCAAAAAATGATTAACGGCGACAATGGCTTCATCAGAGATTAAGTATCTCATCCAGGGCTCGACATTAACTTTTTTTCCTACTTGTCCATTCGGACAAGTGACCAAGATATTTACTTGTCCAAATTTCAACTTCACTTGTCCGAAAAATTTTCAATGAATATCTTATTCTGTCAACTTGAAAACAATTACTTAAATTAATCAATTAAACGGGCTTTATTTATTACTGTGGTTATTAATAAATAAGACAAACACATATAAAACATAATTAATAAATAAGACAAACACATATAAAACATAATTTTATCTAGACTTCCTGTCTTGACAACAACATAAATGTTCGCAAGTGAATCTGTTCTATCAATCAAATATTATTTCAAACCCTCAAAGGTCATAAGATCCACGCCATGCAAAAGTATGGCTGCAATTAGTGAACATCGATCCTGATCAAGTATGAACTTACATAGCGATTGATATCAGGATCGAAATTCAGGTTTATACACGGCTTCCGTTTTTATTCGATAAACTTTTCTATACCTTTTTTTTTCATTATTATTATTTTAAGACTTCTTTAAATCAATCACTCGTCCAATCGGAAAAGTGCCCAGGAATATTCACTTGTCCGTAATTTTTTTCAGTGGTAAAGGACAAGCGTTAATGTCGAGCCCTGTCATCCTAGACTCTATACAAAAAATTCTTTACAAATTAGATGTTTACAGCTATATCTGAATTGTAGATCATTTTGTGCATTGCCCGTGCAGGCAACTGTTTGTTAACAATGACATGTGGTCTACATTTATTTTATTTTTATATCTTCTGAATATCAGAGCACTACATCAAATTGTGACATGTTAGCCCTTTTCAAGTATAATCAATCATTTCAATACCTACACGTACAATGTGTAAATCACTGCAGCAAAAAATTAACTTCCATCGGTTTACAAAAATATTCATAAAAGGTCTACTGACCCTTACTGTTTCAACTCATTTGTCTGAGTAGTTATTGACTGCAAATAGTGCTGATATCTATTAGATGTATTTTCACCATATAATCATTATAGAGCCAAACCCTAACACCATAACCCCTGAACCTGGGGCCATAACATTCACAATTTTGGTAGAGGCACTCTTGCTCATCATAACTATGAACTTAATTACCGATAGTTTTTTTAATACTCAGGAGCAGAGAAGAAGATTTTCAAAGAAGTAATGCATTTTCAATATATAATCAATAGAGCCCCGCCCTAACACCAGAACCCATGAACCTGGGGCCACAAAATTCACGATTTTGGTAGAGGCACTCTTGCTCATCATAACCACGTGTGTAGTCAGTTTATTAAATACTCAGGAACAGAGATTTTCAAAGATTTAATGCATTTGCTCTATAAGATCAATACAGCCCTGCCCTAACACCAGAACCCCTGACCCTAGAGCCATGAATTTCACAATTTTAAAAGCCACCATGGAGATCATGGATTATATTCAACAGTTTTAATGCTCAAGGTGCAGGAGTACAGAAGATTTTTATAGATTGCAATAATTTCAGTGGCTTTGGCCACAACCACGGACCCCATAAAATTAACAATTTTCATTTCCCTTCAACGAGTGATGAAACATGCCAAAATGGATTGAAATTGATTGAGTGGTTTCAGAGAAGAAGCTGAAAATGTTCAACTGTTAACGCAGGATCAAGAACAAAACCAGATAGCACTAGGTCACGCGAATTTACTCAGGTGACATAGAAATCCATTAAACTTCTCACCTTCAACCTGAATGTAACTGGAGGTCTTCTCTAAATCGACTTCACTGATGGCAATACATGTGTAGATACCAGTGTCTGACACATGTGCACACGGTACCTCCATTGTGCACACACCGCTGGAATATGTACACAAATAGTAGTCACTTTGTGTGATATCATGACCATCCTTTGTCCAAGTGACCTACAAAAATTTCATTCTGATTGTACAATATCATATTTCATTTAGATATTCTATCTATATAATATATAGCTTATTTTAATTCTTAAATTCAGGTTTCTATACTATATATCTTGTAAGACGAGTAACCCCAGACTTTTATGGAGGATAGCATAGATTTCAAATAGGGTCTACACATATACCTTTGGTATGGGAACATCGGGAACACACGATACAACTTTCAGGCTATGTCCGGCCTGGATCACCCGAGGACACAGATTAAAATTGTCATCATACATTCCACAGTGTACATTACAAATCTCGCCATCCACAGATGATGCTCCATCTCTAGATAAATTATTCATATAAGATTTGCATAATTATTATAATTACATTACTTATTAGATCTCAGTGTTTCATATCTCTAAGAGGCCTGGACACAGTGAAATTACCATTAATGTTTACATTATTAATTGACTAATACCCCAGAGTTTGCTTTAAGCGCTTTCGTCTGGGCTTCATAGTGTGCTCGGGTCTGTCCTCACGTCGGATCAGTTTGGCCTCCCTGATGGTTTGATTATCCTTCCTGTGATATTGGGTCCCATGAGTCTTGGTAAGATTCCCCCTACCCTCTGAATCGCGCAGTGATGGAGTGTCAACCCTCGATGGAACTGCTAAAATTTTAAAAACAATATTGAAGGAGATATCTGCAGGCCTTTAAGTAAATGTACTTCTCCTTGAATTTTAATTTAATTGTACATTTCTTTCTCATATTTCAAAATAAAATGAATTTTACCTAATTGTGATAGTTGCAAATATACTACAATGTATTTTAACTAGCATAACAAACATTTCGATTGTTCTTTCCTTCCTGATTTAAACATTTCATTTACTTGCGATTAATTGCATTAAAATGAATTAGTATTTTTCTTTTATAAATTTCAAATGCACTACAGCACAAATATTGTATTTCTCAGAGTCCCTATAGATTTATTCAAAATTGCATGCCCATCCGACATGTACTATTGAAAATAAAATGTTAACATTATTCCACTCATAATTTGCAATAATAAACTTCTTTAGACTATCAATTATTAAAAGTATTACATTACTGAAGTTTGAAATCCCTATAAAAAAGACTTAAATAATTCAGCACAACTACATGCTTCTCCTTCCACTGTTAGAACAGTTCCTAAAAGTGGAAACTTTTAATATTTACATACATGAAATACAGCTTAATATTTCTGGTTCTGAAAATAATGTCAGTAGTAATTTTCACTTTAAATCAAATATCATCTCACATGCTTGCAATTCTATTTACACTTCTTAGCAATGTAAGTTCTATATCACATAATATACATTTTTATCCTTATCTAACATTTCAAGTCTAATTCCAACAATAAATACACTGTTACAATCTTTACTTACGTTCTACTCGCAGGGATATTAACCTGTCATCTGTACCATACAAGTTCTCAGCCATAACAGTGTAGACTCCCTTTTCCTCCTTCTGGCATTGACGGACCTTTAACTGGAACTCAGTACCCCCGGACATCTGTATGTATTCTCACTCGAAGAAATAACTTCTCCATTAAAGTACCTAATAATTTAGATCCACAAGTTCTCAATCAATAAAATAAAGATAGCTGGCTATTTGAAATCCCTCACCGGTATGTATAACAGACAGATTTCCAACATTTCTTTGGTAAGTTGATTGCTTAGTGTTCAAAACTTACCAAGTGAGAATGAACGTAGATGCTGCAACAATTCTGCATTTCAATTTACAGTGCAGGGAACTAATTTTGTTACATAAACCAGCATCAGGATCAGCATAAGTAGGATCAGGATAGAGCTAGCATCAGCATTTAAAAAAACAGCATTACTTGGATCAGCATCAGCAAGCAAAGGATAGAACTAGCATTGACCTATTTTAATACCAGCATTGACCTACTTTAAATCAGGATTATCCTGGTTTACTAAAACTACAGATTTGATTTTCACAAAACGAAACCGCAAAATAGACATTCCTATTTCAGTCGGAAATAAATACAAAGAATGTATTTCTTGCAGACAAATTGGCCAATATATTCCTAAGATTATTATTAAATTAATTCAATAGCAATAACCCCGTGATATTTTCAAATCTGAATCAGCTGATCACCAAACGGAAAGGCTATGGAGTCTACTGGTGAGGCCACGCCACGGATTGCTGATTGAGATCGGTGATAAAGGGGTAAGTAGTTAGGCATGCACATGAAAAATCAGTTAAACAATACAATAAAAGTATGATATTGTGAGTATGACTAATAATTACAAAATTCCGTTGGGTTTTATGGGCATACACATGCTACGAGGTTTTTCAATCCGAATTTCCTCTAAATTTACGGAAGTCAGAAATAAAAGAGAAAAGCAAGAAACGTTACTTTTAGAAGAGATAGGTAAATTAGAGTCTGACGAAAAGATAGATTTGCATTTGATAGAACAAAAAAGATTGATATTAGAAAACTTGAGAAAAGAAAAAATGGAAGGACACGTCATAAGATCAAGAGCTAAATGGGTCGAGGATGGAGAGAAACCCACAAGATATTTTTGCAATTTGGAAAAGCGTAATTATTTAAATAAAACTATCAAAAAACTCGAACTTGAAGAAAACTGTATTATCTATGATCAAACAAAAATACTTAAAGAAGTAAAAAATTTCTACCAAAACCTATACGCAAACAAGGACTCTGAACTCTTAGAGTTAGATCTTGAAAATATTATTCAAAATCTTGATGTTCCAAAATTAGATAAACACATCTCGGAATCAATAGAAAAAAAAATATCTGAAGACGAAATCCTTGAAGTTTTAAAAAATATGAAAAACAATAAGTCCCCAGGAAGTGATGGATATACAGTTGAATTTTTTAAATTTTTCTGGAGGGATTTGAAAAAAATTATATGTCAGTCAATAAATTGTATTTTTGTAAATAAGATGCTCCCTGTTTCTCAGCGATTGGGAATTATTTCATGTTTGCCAAAGGGAGACAAACCTAGACAATTTTTAAGAAACTGGCGACCCATTACTCTACTAAATGTGGTTTACAAATTAATTTCAGGGTGTCTAAGTTTTAGAATTAAATCCACATTAGATTATCTTATTTCAGACACTCAGTCAGGTTTTTTAAAAGGAAGATACATTGGTGAGAATACAAGATTTATTTATGATTTAATGGAATATACTGACCGTAAAAATATACCTGGATTACTTGTGCTGATTGATTTTGAAAAAGCTTTTGACTCTATTTCTTGGACTTTTATTTATAAAGTACTTAAATATTTTGGCTTTGGTGAATATATAATTGAATGGATCAAGATTCTTAATACAAAATTTAAGGCTTCTGTGTTACAAAGTGGGTTTTTATCAGAACAAATTGATATAGAGAGAGGATGTAGACAGGGTGACCCAGTCGCACCATATTTGTTTCTCCTGTGTGCCGAAATTCTAGCAATCTTGATCAAACAAAATAAAGATATAAAGGGTATTATGATACATGAAAAAGAACATAAAATAAGTCAGTACGCTGACGATACATCTCTTGCTCTGGATGGTTCACCTAAATCTTTATTCGCTGCCTTGGATACCTTAGATTTTTTCTCAAAAATATCTGGTTTAAAAGTTAACAGCTCAAAAACAAAAATAATATGGATAGGTTCAAAAAAGTTTTCAAGTCAGGTCTTTCATCATCCTAGATGGAAACTCGATTGGGGTTCCACAACTTTTAATTTATTAGGTATTAACTTTTCAGTCGACTTAGAAAAAATTTCAAATTTAAATTATGGAATACAGATTCCAAAAATAAAAAGCATGCTACAACACTGGAAAAGAAGAATTCTAACACCAATAGGTCGAGTCACTGTTGTAAAATCTTTAATTATTCCAAAATTAAATCATTTGTTCATATCACTCCCAACCCCTAAAGGGGAGATAATTTCATCATTATGCAAAGATATTTTTGAATTTATTTGGAATGCAAAATGCGATAAGATTAAACGTGCAGTTTTAACTCAAGATTATCAGCATGGAGGATTAAAAATGGTTGATATAAGCAATTTTGTAATGTCTTTGAAATGTTCTTGGCTAAAAAGGCTAATAGTAGGACATAAACCTTGGGTAGATATCTTTGAAGCTATAAACGGTACAGACTTTGTTAAAAAATTAATTGATTTTGGTGATGCTTTTATTTCTGAATGTGTTATACCCAAAAACAATTGTTTCTGGCAAGATGTTTTTAAGTCTATGCTTAATGTTATTAAATCGTTTGATAGAAAATTCTACATAGAAAATTTTCCTAATATTCCTGTGTGGTACAATTCAAACATTAGAGTTGGTTCAAAAACACTGTTTATAAAAAGCTGGTATGAAAAGGGTGTGAAACTTATTGATGATTTTTTAGATGAGGAAGGAAATATTTTATCTCATGCTATTTTTCAACAGAAATTTGATATTCAAGTATCCATCATGCAATATAACAGTGTAATGAGTTCAATATCAAAGTAGATAAAATCTATTGGAAGCAAAGGTTTACTTAAAAGATTTACTACTCCTTATATCCCAATGTATTATAAACCTTTTCTTTTGCAAACCAGATGTACTAAAACTATATATGAACAGTTAAATGTTAATATAATTATTCCTACTTCTGTAGAGAAATGGAATTTAGAGCTTAGTCATTATGGTATAGAGATATGTGTGAAGGATGTTTTTAATGCTTGTTTTAAGACTACCAAAGACTCTTCAATCCAATGGCTACAATATAGAATTCTTCACAGAATTTTACCTGCTAAGTATTATTTGAAAAAAATCAATGTTATGTCATCTGATAGCTGTTCTTTTTGTGAACATCATATTGAGACAATACAACATGTATTTATTAATTGTGAAAAGGTTTCCTCACTATGGAGTGATCTTAGTATGCATATTTATCAAAAAACTTCAAAAAGAGTTGGTTTTAATGTAATTAACATTTTATTAGGTGAACTTCCATTGTCTAAAGGCAACAAAATTGTAAATTTCTTGATCATGTATACAAAACAATATATTTTTTCATGTCTTAAAAAAGGCAAAATGCCAAACCTCTTGGAACTTCTCTTTCACTTATACAATAAATATAGAGTTGAAAAATATATTGCGAGCCAGAACTTTGAAATGCAAAAGTTTGATAATACCTGGCAAAACTGGAAATGTTTATTTGAAAATCTCATTAAGATATAGACTGTTACAATATGTGACACTTTTTTTCAGTTATATTGATATGTATGTATATAAATATATCTCTCTTTTTTTCTGTCTACAATTAACAAATATAAACACCACTTACCAAAAAGAATGAGTGTGAGTGAGAAAGTGTGAGTGAATGGATAAAAAAAAAATACTGTTGTTGTAATATCTTTGTAATAAGACGAAAAAATAAATAAATAATAAAAAAAAAAAAGAAATAAAAGTCGCAGTGCCTTTGACGAGATTATCTGCAAGCAATTAATCATAGACTGAGGTGTAATGAACAAAACGTAATAATTAATCCAATGCAATAGTTGATTTTATGTTAATGAATCTGGTGTAAATATTTTTTTAATGCGAAAGTTCTTAACTTTATAAAAACTTGTGCAGAAAAATGAATTTGTGTATCTACAAAAAAGCATTTTCAAATAGCTATGTAGATCTGTGCTTGAAAATATGCATACATTTATTTTAAAACTTTTCACTATACATATTCTTTTCCTTGTTTGATGAATAGCATCTTCATAGTGGAAAATTGTGTATACAAAGTATTTTGTATGTCCTAAGCTGCAGATCTGTAGCTCTCCGAAAAAAATATATTGATAGACTGGAGAGCTACAGTGCCACCCATTGAAAAAACTGTATATTTAAGCGCATAAAAAGTGTGCTCGGTTCTTGATTAATTCTTCCAAATTCTTACCTCAATTGCAAAAAGAAAGATTTAAAAATATTCCTTTATCCTCAATCAAGTACTCTCGTAGTTGGCATCTTAACGAAGCGTATTGGACCGAATTATCTTTGAAACCAAAATGGCAGTATAAATAAGCAAAATGTTCGATGACTACAATATCAGGTTCAGGGAGATTATTAACAACAATTATGAGGAATGTTTGGTTGTGGAAACAGCGAAAGAATATGTTTAAATAGGAACACATGGTCAGTAATATGTTGAGATTACAGTTTTAAAAACATGGAGAAATAATTTGAGAACCTAGCGCACTTTTTTGTGCGCAATAAATATACAGTTTTTTCAATGGGTGGCACTGTATCTCTCCGGTCTATCAATATATTTTTTTTCGGAGAGCTACAGATCTGCAGCTACTTCTAGTATGTCCTGTACGTAGAATTTATTTATTTAAATGTACTTGAATCCATTTATACCCTTGCAAATAGGATCTCAATTCAATTAAATACACAAACTTTAATCAATAGGAAGTCTATATAATTATATATATGCTATAAATAATTATTTGTGTTTTTCCCAAATTAAAATTGTGGGAGATTAAAAAATAATA